CGTGATTCCTGCTTTTATTCCTTGTGGTGCCTCTGGTATGAACCCTTACACTTAAAGAAACCCTTGTTAGTGGTGGTTGTTGCGGTTGTGATAGTCATGGTGGTGGTGGTGGTGGTGGTGCTGCTGCTGCTGCTGGTTCTGGTGCTGCTGCTGGTTCTGGTGCTGGTGCTGGTGCTGTTGCTGTTGCTGGTGCTGGTGCCGGTGCCGGTGCCGGTGCTGGTGGTGGTGGGTGGTGGTGGTGGTGGTGGTGGTACTGACTGTTAGTGGTAGGCGGAGAAGAAGTACGATGATGATGACAATGATGATGGTGACGACGGCTGACACAGATGATGATGGTTAGCACCATTTCGCCTCGGTTTACCCAGCGTTGGACGATGCATTGGCCTCGAAAACCCTAAACCCCAAACCCAAAACCCTGAAGCTTTGCCCAGCGCAGGGAGGCTGGTTGGAGCGCTGGTCCAAGCAGCGGCTGCTGATGCTGAAGGGGCAGATCTTGCAGGAGGTGGGATGTAGGGTTCATTTGGAGGTTCCTTATTACAATCATAGTATATTGGGCTCCAAAAACCTATCCTAATTATTAAAGCCCCTACCTACAAGAGGGTTCCGGTTCAGGGCGTAGGGCTCAATGGGACTCTTGAGGATGCCGTTACTCGTCGTAGTGCGGGGAACAACACTAAGAGTGATGATCGCCAGCGGAAGCCAAGCGGCATTAATAACACTGACAAGAGCAGCTTTCAGCATAAATCTCAATGGTACCCATAGGAACACAAGCGCTGCCACAAGCAAAACCGCGCATGAAGTGTAAGCTGCACTTGCTGTAGCTGGAACCCTAAACTCTAAACCCTACACCCTAAGCCCTGAACCCTAAACCTTAAACCCTAAACCCTAAACCTTAAAACCCCAAGCCCTAAGCCCTAAAGCGCAGGAATGGGGCATCCGCGCTGCTACGCAAGTCTTGGCAAAGCAGCAAGCAGCCTTGCGGTCTTTGCAGAGGCGCCCTGGGCTTGAGCGATGCGGGGTTTAGATAGGGTTGGTGCTTTTTACGGTTTAGGGCCGCTTAGGGGTTTCGGGTTTAGGGGGTTTAAGGTTTAGGGGGGCTTAGGGTTGAGGGTTTAGGGGGTTTCGGGTTTAGAGTTTAGCGGTTTAGGGTTTAGGGGTTTAGAGTTTCAGATCAGTGTCGCCGAAGGCTCCCTGCAACTTCTGCCGCGATGCAGGCAGTTGAGGACCTTGCAGCTGGAAGTCCCCAAAAGGGCACGGAGCCTGAAACCTAAAGCCTGAAAGCCCTAAATCCCTAAGACACCCCAAATCCTAAACCCTAAAATGACCTACAGCCCGAAAGCCCTAAATGCCTAAAGCCCTGACGCCCTAAACCCTAAACCCGCCTTTGCATGCGACTTGGAAGCTCACAGCCGGAGGATGCCGTTGCCGAGGGCAATGACTTCGTGGCTGCCGAGAGCCTAGGTCAAAGACGCTTTCGGGGTCTCCGGGCCACTACCTGAGCCCTTTTATGGTTAAGGCAGGTTCAGGCTCCTTATATTGATTTCCTTATATTAGGCCTGAAGGCGGTAGGTCTTTTTGGGGTAACCGTAACCAAAAAGTCCTGAGCCCTTAGACCCTTTCACGCTTTTCTTGCGTGTGGGCGTTTGGCTGCTTACAAAGGCACGGCCCGATGGTGTGGCCCGTGCTCACATGGGATCCGCTGCACGGAAAGCGCCGGGCACTTGGCTTAACGTCGGACGTGTTCGGATCGTGGTACCCTCCGCTTTGGAGCTGAGGCTATGCAAGAGCATCGCCTCAATCCTTCAGGCAGAGGGAGATAGACGGAGCATGTCCATTACTACCTACTGCTCAATAGTTTCCAAGGGTTCCTATTATAAATTCTAATTATGGTAGAAGATACCCCAAACCATTCTAACTATTAAGGGCCCTATACTACACGCTTATAGTATCCTGTTATGGTAACCCTTATAAGGAACCCTTATACGGAACTCTTAAAAGGTCTGATTTTTTGGGCCCTCACATTATGAGGTGCACATGGAGCATCCCAGGCCTTTCACGCAAAACCCCGAGCCCTTACGCGCTAGAGATGGACCAGGGCTTTGGGTATGGAGTTGAGGATTTAGGATTTAGGGTTCAGGGCTCATGGGTTAGGGCTTAGGGTTTAGGATTTAGGTTTCAGGGCTTAGGGTTCAGGGTTTAGGCTTCAGGGTTTCAGGGTTCAGGGCTGCTCAGGAAGGCGAACGAGAAAGCAGAAAACCGCCGAGCCTTCGATCCGAAAGTCCTACGCTGCTCCCGATGTGCATAATTTTGCGTGTGGGGCCGCTCCGGCGGAAGGATGCTTGAATAAGTAGGGTTTAGGGTTTAGGGTTTAGGTAGTAACCCCCCTAAACTTCAACCCTAAACCCTAAATCCCTGAAGCCCAGAAGCCCTAACTGAGCCCCGGAACCCGAGAGCTTAAGGCTCGAAGCCCTAACCCCCAATACCTAAACCGAAGAACCCTAACCCCTAAACCCTATGGTCTAAATGCGAAGCCCTAACCCCTTAAACCGAAGAACCCTTGCTTCATGTGCGCCTCACCGGCTGAAGGATGCCGTTTCTGCACATGGTCGCATCTGCACCCGCAGCTCTCTCAGACGCATCCGATTGCTCATTTCTTTTGGGTTATTTTTGTGTTTTTGGGGTTGTAGGTTGGCCTTCGAGTTTTTTAATGGTGGTTGAGTAGGGTTTGATGGGGTTTTCAAGGGTTCGATCAATACTTTCTGCAGAAGGCACTTGGCATTTAGCTGTGGGTTGCGGAGACCCTGATGGGCTTGTACGCAGCATCAAGCCCACATGTGGTGCAGAGCGGTTTCTTGTCGTCCGGTGTTGGAGTGGTGAATGGAGAAATCAAGGTGTTCTGAACTTGCAGTGGCTCAAACAGGGCACTGATTGCGCGTGCAGTCTGCCGACCCTGTGAAACTATGTCGGAGATGAGACGAACCATGTCCGGTGTAGGGGCGGCTTGGATTCAAGTTGGATTGGATGTGCACTTCATGCAGATGAGCAAGTAATTATCCATGGAGCACGGTGTGGCTGTGTGAGAGCCTTGAATCAAGGCCAGCATGGCTAACGACCCATGGCCAGCCGCGACACTTGTCGGGTTTGCTGGGGCTTGAAATTAATTATAGCAGTCCACAGGAGAGGTTTGCAGGGTATTTGTGGAAGTTCAGGTTCCTTTATCATTTTGTGACGATCACGATCGCAGCTGCCGGACTCTCCGGCAACCCTAAACCCTAAACCCTAAACCCTTAGGATGAATATGGTCGAGCCTTACCTGACGACGATCCTATGGTTTGAGAAGGCCCCAGAGCTGACCGTGATCGCGGATGCCTTTGAGAAGCTTGGCTCTTCCCGTATCGGTTTAGGGTTTTATGGTGTTAGGGTTTTTAGGGTTTTTAGGGTTTTTAGGGTTTTTAGGGATTTTAGGGATTTTAGGGATTTTAGGGATTTTAGGGTTTAGGGCTTAGGGAAACCCTGTAAACCTAAAGCGTCGAGTTTATTACTACTTCTGTTGTTAGTCTTGATGGATGAAGCCCTGCATTGTTCTGAAGAAGTGGTGCACCGTAGTTTCCATAGCCCTGAACTTTAAGGAAGGCAGGACTGGGCTGATCAGCCGCCTTCTGAAAGTCAACCCTTCCATTTCGCAATATTGGCCGTCAAGCCTAAACCCTAAACCCCCAAACCCCTGAACCTTAAACTTTATAGGGTTTAGGGTTTAGGGTTTGGAGCTTAGGGACCCTAAACCTCAACAGTGAAACCCGGCCCAAGACTCCTAAAATTATGAGCCCTAGGCCCTCGAACCCCGAAACCGATGCACCCACCCTTGAGCCCCAAGCCCCAAGCCCCATAGAAGGAACCCGGCAAGGAGGCCTTGAACGCGAAACTCTTATGTGTGGGGGGGAACCTAAACCTTAAACCCCAAGTTTAAGCCCCAAACCCTAAACTTTCGACGAAGCACGATAAGAACTCTGAACCCCAAACCCTAAACCCCAAAACCCTAAACCCTAAACCCTAAACCGACGAACTAAGCCCCAAGCCCTAAACCCCAAACTCGTAAACCCTAAATCCCAGACCGCGCGACTGAACCTGAAAACCCTAGAGCTCTAAGCCCCAAAAACGATAGAACCCTAGAATCTCTGTTGGAGGGGGAGTAATGTAGAAGCCTGAATAGTGACCCATACGATTCCTTAAGATTTCTTGTTCTAGCTTTATGACAATACCCCTTAAACTTAAACCCTAAACCCTTACCGATTGTTACGGGCCCTGCCATTAAGGAAGCACCTGTGGCCCTGCCATCGCTTCAACTCTTGCATTGAAGGCAGGCAGCACCCTGGCACGGCTTTAGCGTCTCGCTCCGCTAGGGCTTCTTAGGGTTTAGGCTTCTTTGGTGTTCTTTAGGGTTCTTTAGGGTTTAGGCTTCTTTGGGGTTTGTTGGAGTTTAGGGTGTAGGGTTTGCGGATTTAATGTTTAGGGTGTAGGGCCGGGTTTACGGTTTAAGTTTAGGGCTTGGGGGCTTGCGGATTTAATGTTTAGGGTTTTGGGGTTACGGTTTTGGAGCTTAGGATTCGTGTTTTTTTTCGGCTTGGGTTTAGAGTTTAGTCTAGGACATTTTCAGGTGGGTAGTTACCCTTATAGGAGCCTTATAGAAGCTCTATATACCCTAAACTTCCCACCTGCAGTTTCCCTTAATCTAGGCTTTGGTTTCCGGAGGTTTCTCGTAGGCTCTGGGAGCTTCGCCTGCGCCGGGGCCTCTGGGTTCAATCTTGCAGGGGTTCTTCCGGGGATTTTTGGGATTTTTGAAAAATGGTTTAGGGCTTTGGGCCCCAAACCCTAGGAGCCCAAAACTCCCAGGAGCCCCAAACCATAGCAGCCCTAAATTCAAGGAGCCCCAAGACCCCCCAAGGAGCCCTAAAACCCCTCAAGGGGCCCCAAAAACCTCCGGGAGCCCCTAAGCTCCCAAGGTGGGTCCGCAGACATGAGCAGATGGACCGAGCCTACCACTTCCTCGAAGAGGAAGTCTTGTGCTCGGGGTTAGAAGGGTTTAGTGACTAGTGGGTTTTGGGGGTGTAGGGGCTTAGGGGTTTAGGGTGTTAAGGGTGTTAAGGGTTTAGGGTTTAGGGGCTTGGGGGTTTAGGGTTTAGAGATGTAGGGGGTTTAGGAGTTAGGGTCGACTGTATGTGAGGGTTGTGTAGTAACAGTGTAGTAAGGGTCCATATAGGGGCTTATTGCAGGGTGTTTAGGGGTTGTCTGTTTTCTGTTTTGGGTTTCTGTAAGGTCTTAAGCGTGTGTTTTTGGGTTTTGCAGTTTTTTTAAATATTTGTCCTCTTTATGGGTCTGCCGAAAAAAGACTGTGCCTCTTTTGAGGTTCTGACTGAACGACTACTAGGAATGGTATGGGGCTGTCTAAAAACGACCAGCTGAGAGGATGAATCAAAAGCCCCAAGACCTGAAACCCCAAGCCCCTGACAGGAGTTGGGAGATGAGTCGTCAGTTGAAGACTTTGCGATGAAGACACACCTGCAGGGACTTCCAACGGACCACCCTAGATGGAGGCTACTGGCCTCAAGCAGTTTGAGGGTGTAGGCTTCCTGGGTTTAGGGCTTAGGGTTTAGGGTTCCTTTAAAAGGGATCTATCGGGGTTCCTTGTATGTTCCGCATAAGCGTTCTAGAAGTGTCCACTTTAAGGGTTTCAGGGTCTGGGATTCGGAGGCCATATTTCCTGGCTGGTCTCCGCTTATAGGAAATCTTTCAAGTTTGTTTCTAGGACATACACGTATATATATATATACACATATATATATATATATATGTGTGTATATATAAAAATATATACACACACATACACGTACGTATGGAATATCACTTAGCAGAAGTATGGCTAGGACTTTAGCCTGACAGATCGAGTCAACTGTATTCGACTGTTGCGCATTTGTGCCGACCATGGTCGTGATGGAACGTGCTATGAGGTAGTCGTTTCAGAAAGACTCAGGCGGCTCATGTAGTGCATCCGCCTGTATCGGCTGGTCGGCTCGAGGCTGCGATGCTGAGTGTCTTGTTCAGCAGCCTCTTTGCACATGGAGCATGTTCGAAGCAACTGAGGGTCATCCGCATTTCTACTCCCCCGTCTGTGCAGTCGGCATTGCTGGTACATTGTCATCACTCCCTCGGAGATGGCTTGGGGATGCTGTTTGCGATGTCGCCCTTGCTTGGCGTCCCTGGGGGAAACCCCCTCGCCACGGTGCCCCTCCCGAGGGTGATGCTTCCCGAATTTGCCAGGCCACCACCTGGCGAGTCACCCGAGAGCCCCAAAACTCCCCTCGTCCGGAAGAGCCGGTGTAATCCCTTTGCATGCCTCTGGGGTGCTTTCAAGGGCATTGGCTCTTTCTTCCGGGGCTTCTTTCTGATGGGCCTTGTTGGCCACGACACAGAGCTCAGCATCAACGAGCCGCTGCAGAAGAGGAGTCCCTTCCTCCCTTTCTCGGGGAAGCGACAGCTCACGCGCTTTCCCATAGTCCCCCTATCGCTCATCAAAAAGGCGAGGGAGAACCACGGCTGTACCTTGAACGACATCGTCATGGCCGCAATCACGGGAGCTTTGCGGAAGTATTGCCTTGAGGTCCAGAAAGACGAGAAGCTGCAGAGCGGCGAGCAGGTGCAGTTCAAGTCGATGGTGATGCTGGCCATGCCGCGTGAGTGCAGCCGCTCGTCATGATGTCAGAGGGGTCCCATAAGGTGCTGAGAAGGTTTAGGGTTTAGGGCTTTGGGTTTGGATAGTGCGTTATGCTATGCTGCTTTGTGGCACATTACTGTATACGATACTGTATTCTATTGCATTCTATGCTATTGCATTCTGTCATATCATGTTATGTTGCATTATATGATATTGTATGTTATTGTCATTGTTTTATGCTATGTTGCATATTGTTTGTTTGCTTGTATCACACTACACTGTATTAATATTCTATTACATAGCACTGTTATATAGTTTTACTTTATTGTATTGTATGATATTTGTTATAATATGGTATAGTATATATTATATGAAATGTTGTCTTATTTTAGACTGTGTTACATGATGTCATGTTACATCATATTATGATGTAGATGGCTGTTTCTCTTATATTTGGTTGTAATGTAGTCTGTTACATCATATTATGTTGATTATGTTATACTCCACATCACAATTTTGGTATTATGTTAGATTGTGATATATTGCGTTATATTGTGTTAATTATATTCTATGTATCATATCATGTTACGGGGTGCATCATTATAGACAGAAGACAGTACTATATTCTGGTATGTGATATTTGAACATATGATATGATATGACATAACATGAAATTTTATGATATTGTAGTATGTTAAATATATTTATATATAAGTAAGGGCTCCATCCGGTTTCAGAGCGCGAACGAGCACCGAAAACGTGACGAGCTGAGGTGCCTCCGATCCGAGCATTGCTCTACGCACCTCTGCCGCACGGTTTAGGGCTCGGGGTTTAGGGTCTAGGGGGGTGTCAGAATAGACAGCGCGCACTTGACGCAATTCTGTCTCCAGCTTATGACGCTGTTTTGCAACCGAAGGGTCCTCTTAATCCCAACTCCAGCTCATGACGCTGCTTTACAACCGAAGGGTCCTCTTCATCCCCAAACCCAACATCCTAATCTCTGTCTGCATCCTAAACCGCCAGCTGCACTGGAGCCGACTCGCTTTTGATGTGTCGCGCTAACTCTTCTTTCTGCAGTGCCTTCCTAATGGAGAAGCTTTATGCTGCTCTGTACTATAATATACTATACTATAATATACTATAATGTACTATACTATACTATACTATACTATACTATACTATACTATACTATACTATACCTTCCCATCTCCTTTAGAATTCCATCTTAAATCCGCCGGGGAACAAGATGCCTCTAACCCCCAAACCCTAAACCCTGAAACCCTAAAGACCCTAAAAACCCTAAAACCCTAAAATCCCGAAAAAAAACCCTAAAAACCCTAGCACCCTAAAATGCTAAACCCCAAACCGAGGCAACAAGATGCTTTTTACCAGCGTCTCGTTGCCCCTGTCGGAGAACTCCCAGTCCGCCCGGGTGCGCAAGACGGTTGCAGCTCGGTAAGACAGGGTTTAGGGGTTTAGGGTTTAGGGGTTAGGGGTTTAAGGGTTTATTGTTTAGGGTTTAGGGTTTTAGGGGTTTGGGTTTAGGGTTTAGGGTTTAAGGTTTAGGGTTTAGGGTTTGCCTAAACCCCGGATAACCTACCTGTTTAAGGACTGATATGAAGAAATCATAAGAAGGAACCCTAAAAAGGTAGGTTCTTTAGGGTCCAGGTAGGGTTTAGTTCCCACAGAGATCCCCAAAGCCCCAAACCCTGTAAAGAAGGGTTTGGGGGTTAGGGTTTAGGATATAAGCCCTAAATTGCCCTATATTTAGGGTTGAGGGTCTAGGGTATAAACCCTAAATCGTTGCAGCGGAGCCCTAACAGAGGACCCTTTCAAAGCTCTGCTCTAGGCTCGATACCCTAAGCACTAAACCCTAAGAGACCTATAATGAGCCTTATAAGACCTGGATGGTCTGGGCGTGGGAGCCCTCGGCGGTTCACCCTGGCAGTCTTCCTTTGGGATATTTTTTGTATTTTTCGGTTTAGGGTTTAGGGGTTAGGCTCCCATCGGATGTTCACAGGGCTCTTTTAAACTTTTAGCGCTCTTATAGATTGTTATAGGGTTCTTCGCAGATCTTCCAACAAACCCTAAACTTAATGAAGGTGTATACTTTAAGCCATATTGGGGATCCTACTACACTTAAGGTTACATTTCTTAATTAAGCCATTTTGGAAGATCTGGGGTATGGGGGTGTTGATGAAGCTCTGGTAGGGCTCTTCCCGGACTCTGATACGGCTTTGATAAGATTTAGGGTTTAGGGTTTAGGGTTCAGTGTTTAGGGCTGTGGGGGTTCAGGAGTTTAGGGCTTTGGGGGCTTAGGGGTTTTGGGTTTTGGGTTCCTGTGGGGCTCTCGTCGGGGTCTTTTTCGGGGTTCTTGCAGGGACCCTATCTCGCCTTTTTGGTCGCATGGGGGGTATCGCCAGGTAAGACCACTGAGTCTAGGGTCAAGCTTCAGGGTTTAGGGTAATCCCTATAGACCCTAAACCCTAAGCAGTTTAGGGTTCAGCATGCAGATAGCAGCCGCAGTTGAAGTGGAGATCGTTGTCAGGAAGGCCTCAACGGCTTGAAGAACGCCGCGTACATGTGTGGCGTGCGGCTCTTTACTGACTTGGTGGCCAGCATCGCGCCAAGGTCGGTCCTGAAACTTGGCGAGCGAAGCAGTCGTTTTCAAGCGTGCCGCTGCTCATATCCTGTACAGCAGACGCGACTAAGGAACAAAGCGACCGGGGAAACTTGGTCGAAGCATACGATTCTCGTGACGAAGTTGCGCTTTGGAAACCATTTTTTTGTCGGAATGCTCCTAAACCCCTAAACCCTAAACCCTAAACTCTAAGCAGCTTAAGCCTTGCAAAAGGGGTCAGTTTTGAGTCCATTTTTCAGGTGACGAACGTGCCGTGTACCTCGGTTCCTCTGACGTTCCCAGCAGAGGCTCTCTTCCGAGTTTAGGGTTGAGGGTTTAGGGTTTAGGGTTTTAGGGTTTAGGGTTTAGGGTTTAGGTCACGGATCACTTGCCCTAGGGCTAACCCTATTCTTTGTAAGATAAGCTCTGACATGCGGTGCGCCGGTTTGTCATTTTGGACTTGCAGCCCCACTGCAGGGCTCTACACCTCATCCCGCTTAGCATCAGCATGCGGAAAGCACGGTTGTTCGAGCTCTAATTTCATAAACTGGAATGGTTTCCATCCCTAACCCCCACATGGGGGTTTCCGAAAATGGGGGAACCTAATATAGTACCCTTAATAGTAGGATCCTTATTATAAGGACCCCAAAATAAGGTACCCCTCATTTTCGGAAAGTCCCACATCGCCAAGCACTACATTCTAAACCCCCACCATAAGACCCTAAAGCCAAAGTCCCAACCCTACACCAGATATCCAAAACCCTGCAGTGAGCCCCCAAGCCCAAACTCGCAACCTTTAAGGATTATAGGGTTTAGGGGTTTAGGGGTTTAGGGTTTAGGGTTTAGGGTATAGGGGTCCGAAAGACCACCAACCATGTAACGATCTCACAAGAAGGGCTGCCGGAATTCCCGGTACGGGTACTGTAAGGGTTCCTGTAAGGGTGCTGGCTGGAAGGGTTGCTTTAAGGGTACCATAGGAGTTGCTGTATGAGCACCCTTCTACCCCTCCAAAAAGACTAGGATCCAGCTGTTGAGGTGCTCTTTCACTAGGTCACCCAGTGGGCCCTTTTTCCCCTTTTTAAAGTCTCAGGTTCCTCATAAAAAGGTACCCAGCAGCAAAAAGGGTTTAGGGTTTAGGGGTTTAGGGTTTAGGGGTTTAGGGTTTAGGGGTTTTTAGGGTTTAGGGTTTAGGGTTTCAAATGCCAGCTTACTGGGCATCCTGGTTTACGAGGGACTCCAAGTGCCCCTGAAATTCAGCACTCTACCTACAGTCTCCATTGTAGTTCCTTTTTTTGGTTTAGCAGATAATATATTAAGGATCCTACAAGGTAACCCCCAAAAAGAACTACAATGGAGACTATAGGTATACCCTAAATGCTCGAGGGATCCATAGTAAACCTTAAACCCTAGGCCCGAATATGGTTTCAGGTCAGGTATGTTCCTGAACTGAACCCGGCTGCGCGGTCCCTGGGTCCTGTAGAGTTTAAACGACAAAACCCTAAACCCTGAACCCTCAACCCTATAGTACCCTTAGAGATCCCTTAAAAAGGAACCCTTACATAACTTATAAACCCTATCCCCAAAACCCCCAAACCCCAAAACTCTAAGGAACCCTAAACCCTAAGCCCTAAAGCCTAAACCCAAAAAGCCCCAAACCCTAAACCCTAAGCCCTAAAGCCTAAACCCAAAAAGCCCCAAACCCTAAGCCCTAAGCCCTAAAGCCTAAACCCAAAGCCCTAAAGCCTAAACCCTAAGCCCTAAACACGAAGCCCTAAGCCCTAAAGCCTAAACCCTAAGCCCTAAACCCTAAGGCCTAAAGCCTAAACCCTAGGCCCCAAAACCTAAGCCTAAACCCAACAAGCTCCAAACCCTAAACCCTAAGCCCTAAAACCTAAGCCCTAAACCAAAAACCGGGCCCGGAACCTTCTGACTGATTCTTAGTAGGGAATGGAGGAATGGGTTTAGGGTTCCTTAAAGGGATCTATAGGGTTCCTTTAAGGGATCTATAGGGTTTAGGGTTTAGGGTTTAGGATATGGGGGAATGGGTTATTGGGACTACTATAGGGGACCTTAAGGGAGTATCATAGGGATCCATTCCCCCATTCCCTACTAAGAACCAGAGAGCCTTTGACGCCGGAAGGATGGGCAGACTCTGCAAGGTTTGTCTCTTGTCGGGTCCCCAGTCGTCAGCATTCCTTAGGAGTGGGTTCTTATCTTTGGGGTTTAGGGTTGCTTTAAAGGGATCCTTAAGGGTTCTATAAGGGCTACTATAAGGGGTTTAGGGTTTAGGGTTCAGGGTCAATTCTTAGGGCTTTTTTTTGGGGGTTGTTTAGGGTTTAGGGTTATTTAGGTTTTTTTGGGCTTTAGGTTTTGTGGCGACATGAACCCAAGGGGTTGTCCACGAAGTCATTTTCATGTTGAGCCGAAGGGCTTCTAGAATCAATTGAAGACTGGCACAGCGCAGAGGGCCAAAAGACGAGTTTGTTTCGGAAGCACTGTCCAGCCTAGCCCCCAAAAGAGCCATAAGTCTGAGCCCTAAACCTTGAAACCCTAACCCTCAACCCTGCCTGTAACTCTGAATACCTACAGTTTAGCAGCCATTATCCCCTATATATTATCGGGGCCAAAATAATTCTAAAACTAGTTTTTGGGGGTTTCTTATTATAGTTATAAAATAAGACGCACCAAAACCCTGTTCTAATTATAAAGTCCCCTACAGTTATCTAAATTAGGGTCACCTTTAGGGTCCCATGTATAAGGGTGCTGTACTATATTGGGGACCCACAAAGGGACCCCAATTTACAGAACTGCCAAAATAACTCGCATCACAAACTCCGAAGAAGTGGAAGCTTTTCTTCGACAAGAGCACTTTTCGCTCTCAGCTCAACGACAAGAATCCTGTAGGAACCTTGTTCTCCGAAGCCCTAGGCCCTAAACCGTAGGATCCGCACTTGCTGAACATATATGAACCTAAGAGCCCTAAACTTCATAAGCCTTTCCCCAACCCATCCTAAACCCTAAACCTTAAACCCCTAAACACCCCAAAGCCCACAGCCCGAGCCTCGGTCGGCAGGTCATCGCGAACGTCATGTCCCAGGTGTCGGTTACTGGTCGCAAGTTCAGAGCTAAACCGACGTGGTGTCAGGGCCAGTGCAAGGGGGCACTAAAGGGAGTTGCTGTAAGGGGGCACGATAAGGCTAACTATAATGGTCTAGCCATGTATATGAAGTTTTGACAAACGCTCATATAAAGGTTGCTATATCGGTTGCTAAGGAAAGATAGGGACCCAAAGTAGAGTTCGTGAATAGTAGGGTCCTAAACTTGGGGAACCCCTGCACCACAAAAGGGACTCCTTATTTTTGAAAAGCGCTTCGTAGGGTTCAGAAGTTCGGGCATTTCCAGGGACAACGGACATGTCTGGGATCCCCACAAGCTGCCCAGGTCCGAGACTTTAGGGTGTAGGGCTTAGGGTTTAGGGCTTAGGGTTCAGGGCTTCCCAGGTCATATCTTACAACGGCTCGCTCTACGCCACATTCGTGGCGGATCCGGACTTGATTCGCGAGGTGCGGCGGCGGAAAAGGGGAGAAAGGTCCAGTATAGGAGGCTTATATTGTACTGTTGATGATATAAATCCTGCATTACCTTAAGGACCCTAAACTGTGGGAATTGTGGTATATTCTGTATTATGGGTAATGCAGGATTTATATCATCAACCGTAGTATAGTATATCTCCTTACGAAATCCTAGATGAATCATCCCTGAACCTTATAGTGGGGAGTTGAGACCTCATGAATAGTTTAAGTTTACTATTCCCTTACTTTCATTCATTCTTACCCGAAGGGCCCTAGGCACTGTCTTGGGGGATACTCTCCCAAATCATAGTTTCCTAATATAGAAACCCTACATAGGTACTAAACCCCTAAACCCCTTAACCCCAAAACCTTAAAAACCAAACCCCAACTTGAGACCGATGCCTGGCTAGGCAAAGAAACTCGGCGAACTCTGGATCTCCGAGATCAAGGAGTTGGCAGGGCAGGCATGAAAAAACAAGCTGGTGCTTAAGGGGAGAGTGGGAGAGTGGATCATTGGGGTTTAGGGTTTAGAAGTTTTAGGGTACATTTGGGCCCTATAGAGTAATGTCCAGAACAGTCGTCCTTACAGTCCTTCCTCCACTCTTCCGGAAGCACCAGTAAGAACATGATCATCCATCCGATGCTCAGCTCGCTCCGCAGCTCGTCTGCACATGTCTGCACACCCTCCTAGACCCTACCAATAGGCTCCTTAGTAGTTCCTTTTTGGGATTACCTTATAGGATTCTATATATGAACCATAAGAAGGAACTACTTAGGAGTTTATGGCTAAACCCGAAACTCAAAAACCGCAAGCAGAAGTGACCACTTGCCCAGGTTGGGACGTGCACGCAGCCGCCGTAGCCTGCCTCTGCGAGTGACACCAGGGACGTCTGTTTTAATGCTGCGCCGGCTGCGGCCGATGTAGCAATGTAGCCACCAACCACTGCGTGGTATTCGCCCGGCATAGGCCTGTTGGACATTGCGAATCTTGCAGGAGCTCTTGTTTGAAGATGGGCAAAAAGAGTGAAACAGGACGGGCGGTATGGCTGCGGTGCAAGCTGCTTGAAAAGGTATTGCACAGGTAGCAGGACGGTAACTAAACCCTAAGGCCAAAACCCAAACCCCTACAAGCCCTGGGCCCCAAACCTTAAATCCCTAAACCTTAGACCCTAAACTCCCTAACTTCGGGGCTGAGTAGGTAACCTTGAACCTCTTGGGGCTTATATAAAACCTACTATAACTCAAAAGGTTAGCCTTTTTTGGGCTAAGGTACTCGGCCCCTAAGCTAAACCCTAAACCCTAAGCCCTAAACCCGCAAGGTGGAGCTGGTCCTGAGTCGAGGCTCCTGCAGGCCTTGCCTTGGCTGCTTTGCGTTTTTTTCTCTGCCTGGAAAGCCAGTAGTCTGTATTTAGGGGCTACTTTGAGCCAATTATGGGCTACTTTAGGGT